GAGAGAATATATTTGATCTTCCCGTCTTTATAATTTTCTTAATTCTTAATAGTATTGGACTAGCTTATGAGAGGGGGGGGGAAGCGGTACATTTTGAATTAGAAAGGGTAATTACTAATCGTCATGCTGAAAATCGGTGGATTTAAGAATGGTTGCTGAGGTGGTTGATAGCTCAGCATACACACATGAATCACACAATTACCTCATACATGCTTTCTTCACAAAATTAAAAAAAAAAGTGATTAAAAATTGAGCAAATCTATGAGGAGCGGGGGATTATTTTGTGAAACTGTTTTTTGGGTTTCTGTGTGGGCCACAGAAATCGAAGAGGTTAAGTAGTGAAAAAGAACCACAGAATCGTCGTCTCTCCTTGTCACTCTCATTCTCATGTGCCACGCGAAAAAAATTCAACTCACAAACGCGCGCCGCTACACGCCAGTTGCTAAACACAACCACAAATGATGACCTCACCCTTAATAATATATTACCTCATGCTATTAATATAAAGGTTGGTTAGACTAAAAAAATTAGTTAAATTACTCATTTGTAATAAATAGGTATTATTTTTCTTAAAATATTTTTATTAATTATGTGTATTAACCAGAATTATTATTTGATAAAATATTTAACATGTACAGTTATTATAAAAATTATTATCTTAAAAAATATAAAAAAAAAATAAATTAGTTTTTTATATTTATGACTAATTTGATCATCAACTCACTTTTTGTATTGAGAAAATGACACAAGCAGCTCTAAACATGAGATCCCGCGCTCACAATTCCGACGCTTTCCTTATTACTATTGGTTTTTCACGATTTGACGTTAATAATAAGGAACTTTTTGATTATTTATAGAGAGAGAGAGTGGGAGAGGGTTGGCGCTGGAAGCTGGAAGGAATTCCCTCACTTTTTTTTGGTGTACTCATATAATATAATAAAATGGAGATGCTTTGGTAACTTAATGGAGCTGGATTCTAGCTAGCGACCTCATTAATGCGGCCAGCTCACAGTGACTGTGCAGTTTTATGTTTGTCAGAACAATTAATTAAATGTGTTTGTCTGCTTCATTTGGATATGTCTTTTAATTACTATTGCTGAGCGTACTAGGTTGAGACAACCAGCTTCGTTCACTGCATCGCTTTGACTTTTGTCCAAACCCAAACCCCTCGCTGTTTCATTTTGAAATGTGGCGTCTCTCCTCAGAATATGAATGAACCTGGTGGTATTATTGTACAGGTGAATTTTTTTAATTCAGCTTGAATTTTTATTTTTATTTTTCATTAAAATATAGACATCTTCCTATTAGAGACAATCTTATTTATAATATTGTCAAGTATTAAATGTGGAACACCTCTTCCAGTGAGAATTTGAATCTTATTCGTCATATTGTGAAGGACTAGACCATTTCGCTAAACCTATTCCCTGTTAGTAATTCAGCTCCAATTTTATATATGCCGCTGGACGGCTTGGTGCTGACCTGGCATGTAATTCCAAGGTTAAAAGCCCAACAGCAAAATAAAAAAAATTCCTAATATTGTTCACACAAAAAAAAAAACGAAATACTACTCCAGTTTTAAATACAAGAGCTATTTTATAATATAATTTACACTATAAAGTGAGTATTATATTTAAGACTAGAAGAGTAATATAAATTTGTGAAAATTATGTTATATGACTGCACATATTGAAAAATATGATAATTTCGAGATTGGAATATGGATTCGAGTACTTTTTTTTTCCTGGATGAATTTGAGTACTCTTAATACAGGATCCACTTGAAACATTAATGCACATATATTAATTTTTTTTAAAATTAATTACATTGATATGACTCCAATAATAATCAATAAAGAAAGTAGGGAAGGAATTAAAGAAAATGCTTAAGATGTTTTAAAAAAAATCATATTAACTAATTTAATTAATATTATTAATCTATTTAAATTAGTTAATTAAGTCTTACGTTATATATTAAAAAAAATAATTTGTATAATAAATATAAAAAAATTGATGTAAGTTTTAGATTTTTTTTTTGGCCCAATTTTTTAAATGGACACGAACGACTGAGAAATTGAATAAGCCATAAGACGAGGAGGTGCTTACTGCTTAGCATGTGATGATGTAAATGCGAGGCGGACGAGACAGGGGAGACTACTCAGTGCCTGGGCCTAACTTCCCATTTAGTACTATATTCTATGAAATTAAAACGGCGTCGTTTGGGTGCCGCTACGAGAAACAGGACGCAGAATAGTCGCCGAGGAATTGGGACGCGCCTTTTGTTTTTGTTTTTTTTTTTTGGGGAAAAAAGAGGGGAAAGCCGTGAGAGTGAAAAGGAATTTAAAAAAAAAAAAAAAAAAGAAAAGGAAGGAAAGAAAGGGAAAGTGGAGCCCATGGTGGCATGTGTGTAAACCTGCCTCGGTTGTGTGGCCAGGCCTTAAAAGCTACACGCCACACGATGATCGCTTTTCTCTCTCGTTATTTATGAGTACCAATCCCGAACAAACAAACAAACGAGAAACAACAACACATTTAAAAAAAAAAAAAATCAACATTTTGCATAATTAATAAATTCGGTTCTTTTTACGGGCCTCCCCCTTCCCTCAACCACCCCTCTGAATTCCTTCCTTTTTTTGCCTTTCTCTTTCTCTTTTATTTTTATAATATATTTTTGTTTGTTTGAATAACATCTCTATCTCTTAACCCACTTGTTTCTCAAGCTCACAAAATAAAAAATACATTAAATTGGCACTTTTTTTTTTATTTGCCCCCTCTTAAAAAAAAAGGTATTAAATATGTTTTATTTATTTTTCTCATTTATTTATTTATCTTTCTATGTATTTTATAAGTCATAAAATAAAATTAAAAAAAGCTTATTAATTACTTACAAGTAACTTATATTTAAAAACAAACTTTTGCTCTATAAGTAATTTATAAATAGAAACAGAATGGTATAGTGATCGTATAATTGATAATCATTATTTAAATACATTATCAGTATCAGGTCATTTGTTCCCATAATGTCAAATCACATTAATCATAATTATTGAATAATATGACTGGAATAAAAATATGCGCGGTATGTATGTCTAACTATATGCATGTTCATCCTCCTCTGTTGTTGTTGTTTTTTTATTTATATCATTTTCTAATCTCACGCCACATTGAATGCTTGTACCAGCTCCACTTCCGAACAACTCCCCCACCTACTCTTCCCTTAATTTGCTCCCAATTTATACTTTAGGCCACATATAATCAGCAGCTATATTTAATATAACATGTTCAACTTATATCAAATTTCATTATCCATAGACACTGTATATATGCTTATTTTTAAAATTAAAGGATGGCAAAAGAAGCAGTAACATTAAAGAACTAAAATAAAGTTTAGCTCGAACATTAGAAGGCTGATAACATAATACTTTTAGACAACTATTTATACTTTTGTTTCCAGCCAACATTTTGACGCTATCCGACATTATTAATTCAAAATTGATTCAAGTATACTCTTCTGATCCTATTTATAAAGTACCTCTACCATATTTTATATAGAATAAAGAAAATTTTAAACTGTATTAACTCTCAATTAAAATATAACAACTTTTTAACTTTATCCATATTTAATATATGCACTTTTGAAAAAATAATTATTTGCAATATAATAAATGAATGACAAAATATCAACACATTGCTTGGTAACTTATAACAAGTACGTAAAGGTTAATCCATTCTATAAGTTGTTTTAGAAATGGTAACACTTGTGACATTATGGTCATCGCATAGATATTGAGATGAAGCTTCTAGTTCTAGGCCTTCTTGTTTAATTTTGTTGGTTTTTTTCCTTTTTATTTTTCTCTTCTTTTTTAATAAATAGGACTAGAGGAATATATTAGAACATGAGTAGAACAAATAATGTTTAATATGGTTGGTAAGCACAAATTCTATCTAATTATTATTGGGGTACGCAAATTTAAGTCTTCCTAAAATGAATTTAATAATTTAATCATGTTTTCTTAATTTTGATGAGGCGACAAATAGATCAGAGCAAGTACTCCTCAATCCTTAACATAGGACATAATTATTGAGTTGATTTTGGTTTTAAATATAAGACATATTTGTCATATTTATCCGTTTTTCCTAATTAAATTACCTCTGTTAATACTCTTTCAAGCATAATCAAGTAAAAGAGGGAAGGGAGATGTTAAGAAAGATAATTATGGTGTTTTAAGAAAAACATGTCATATTTTTTATAATTAACTAACTTACTTAACTTTATTAATCTAATCAAATTAGTTAAATAGGTCTTATATTAAGGATCGGAATAGCATATTAATTAGTTAATTAGATAAAGTAGAATAATTAATTAATTCATTAGATAAAGTAGAATGCAACGTTGAGGCCACCGCTTAAGGGCTTGTTTGAAATACTACCTCCGGTCCTAAACAAAATTTATAGATAACTTATCAATTGGAATTTAAAAATGAGATAAATATGAGAAAAATTTTGTTCTGACTTAAATAAAATATGTTTATAAATGTTTTTAGATGCTATCTTAAACAAGTTTTAAATGATTAGTTTTATTCGCGAGGAAAAAACAGAAAAAGGATTAGTTGTATAGTATTTTGGGGGGGGGGGTCCGTCAAATATTTGGTGACTAGTACCACATAGGAAGGGGTTTAGTTGATAGGGTGAAGGACACAACATCATCATGACCTTATAATTAATCTGCCAAATCCAACGGTGGATATCATTGATTTGATAGCAACACATTCACTGATTCACACAAACACACACCCCCCCATACCCACTGCATGCAGTCGTGGTCATTTCTCTGCAAGTGTGAAACCAGCTGGTAGGGTCCCTTTTTGTCTTTTTCAACGTTCCTATTTCACCCTTCTTCTTATAACCCCTCCCTCTCCCTCTCCCTCTCTATTCCTCCATCTTCGTCCCTCCCCCCCCCCCCCCAAAAAAAAAACCCAGCTAGCTAGGGCTGAAGACGAAGATGATGATGAAGCCGATCGAGAAGAGGAAGCTGTGTGTTTTGAGGGGAATGTTGTCTGGCTCGAGGAGGACTTATGCCCCTCATCTCCATGATCCTCTATTTGTCGTCGTCGGACCAGGCTTCATTCCCCCCAATTATACATGCTTCTCCCGCATCATTCATTGATTTCATCTTCTTAGTTCATTGTTACGGTTTGATCCATTCCTCTGCTTTTATTTTCTTTCTCTCTGTTCTATTAAAGTTTTGTTTTTTATGGTGGTACAGGGGGATCTGATGAATCGTGGGTTTTTTGTTTTTAGAGCAATTAAAGATGTGGGTAATGCGCAGATTGGTGTAATCATAGCCATTTTGACCAATTTCATTCTCTGCTTCAGCAAAAGGCTTTCATCATTACCTCCTTTTCGTATTTCATCACTTTCTTCTTTTATCTCTGATCAAGCTATGATGATGGTAGTTTTTTTGTTGTTGTCAGGTTTCTCCTTCGTCATTACCCTATCGATGAGATCTTCTTTAATTTCTTCTTCGTCGTCGTCTCATCATGAGTTCCAGCATCCGATCTGTCTGTTTCTGTCATTTCTTTATTCAGATCCGGCAAGCCTAGTTCATCAACTCCTCCCCTCCTCACTCACTCTCTCTCTCTCTCACACACACACACACCCACACACACTATCTTTTAGGGTTTCATGGGCTATGTTTAATCTGTGGCTTCAATCTCAACAAGGCTTAGTAGCTATGGATGAACAAGCAAATGAGGACAACTTTCATCAGTCATTTTCCGGATGTCAACTCTTGGTGACACAACTGAAGCCTAACATGATTAATTATTAATTTAGTTCAATAATCAACCATGTGCGTGTATGGTGTATCTCCCTATGGTGAGCGATGGCGCTAGACTCCTAGGGTAGATAGCCTTGTATTCTTCGCCATCTTCCATCGGATTCTTCAACATTTGTCAAATCAGAAGAAAAACAATATGGAGATCTAAACATGTTACAGCTTGATAACCTTGTGATTTTTGCACAGTCAATTTAGCGACTACTGATTAATCATCATGAATCATTCTTGTTATCTGTTAATTAGATTCTTATTGGTATAGTCATGTCTAAAAATTTTCTGTTAGTTCTTATTCTTTTGCTTAATTTGCTCTTCAATCTGCACCAAATTTTTTGGTAATTAGAATGGATTTGGTTTAAGCATATGTATCTGTGTGATTCTTTAATTTATTTCAAGACCTACCACTTTGCCTTGGCTAGCTTTGATATCTCCTCATCAGAACGTGTTGAAACCCTAACCCCACCACCCCAATAAAGGGGTCATTTTTCAATTGTTCGGGGGGCAAAATGACTCCTCCTCAAGGGTCAAGTTTCAAAATCTTATTGAGCTTGTGAAACACAGGCTACCAAATAAAAAATAAAAAAAAATAAAAAAAGAAAGAAAGCAAAAATCTTCATCAGAAGTCAATTTTGAATTAAAGAAGCAACAGTATAATGCTTTAAATGTATGCTATATTAAAGCATTCTGCTGATGAAAATGAGTAAGCCTTATTAAGCGAGCACGGCAATACTGGCATGCCCAGTAAGCATTCGCCTGCTTTGCATTTGTATTTGGGATCAATGATTAAGGTAAAAAAGGGCTTTTTCTGGTGTTCCCTTTTACACAACCTTTTTCACTTGCTTTGCTTTTTTCTTTGCTGAGCTGCCACACAGGGGCTTGGAAGAGACAATTTATCCTCAGAATATTGTTTATATAAAATAGGTTTGAATCAGAATGGTAGACAGAAGAGTCAGCACCCTACGGCTATATAGACACATGTAGGGAACCCAATATGACGCTAACACAGTCTTATTCAGCACTGGCTATATATCTACATAGCTACTTTCCTTTCTCACACACTCATTCTTGCACGCAATATGTTTACTTCACTATGACAAAGATCACCCATCGCTTCTTTCCTGTATTATCAACTATCAATTAACTTTCCAACTCTGAAATATGATGTTCATATGACCTCACTATGAGAGTATGAGTCACAAAACAACAGCTTTTAAGTACACTCTTTGGTACTAAACTCCACAAAATATTAATAAAACCTTTCAGATATATGCATCTATTTCAATTGGTAAATGCTTCTGTTCAGTTCTTAATCAGCACGCATATATATATATATGTATATATTACCCTTAATATTGAATTCTCCATGTTATTTGGAATACACACACACATAGTGATGTGTGTTGTAAAGAGAAGGGAATGTGAGAGAAAGGAGAGCGTCTGAAAAGGAGGTGGGTTTTGGGGAAATGGAACTTTTTGACCTTTGCAGAACATAAAGTTGAAGGTCCTGCAGGAGGGAGCTAGAGGGGTAGCTTTTGTGTTTTCCCCATGCATGCATGAATGAATGATTTGTGAGAGAAGAAAAAAAAAGCAAAGAGAATGGGCCATGGAGTGTTGAATTCTCTTAGAGACGCAGCTTTTCTGGGCACAGCCTTTTCCTTCAATTATGCAGATTATATATATGCACATATCAGGTGATGACCCCATCAGCTTTTGTTTTTCCAAAGTCTTTTTTTCACTGTTTGGATTGGAAGTTAATGTCCTTATTTGCGTTACAATAGTTTAGATTAGCTGTACTCTTCATTCCCCACATCTTTTATATTCATAGCCATATAGCTTAGGTGCGGATATTATTGAATCTGCATGTCCTTCATATTCCTCTCCGCAAGTTTCTTTGTAAGTTGAAATGAAGGGCTCGTTTGGAATGATAATTAGGATATACGATGTAGACTTATTAGGAAAATTTTGTCTCAACTTACGTAAAAGTATTTATAAGCGCCCAATCAAAGTATATACAAACAAGTCCGAGAAAGATGGATTCAATTAACATGTGCTCCAACACTTCATCACCACGCCCAGTGCTCAAAGTATTTGGTGCCAATGCCCATACTCTATCTCTACCTCTTTTTAATTTTACTGCAAAAAATGGAAGGGCACTTTCGGAAGATCTGTTCTGTTTAAGAATATATAATAGTAGAGTTATAATTGAATTATATCTTTTTGACATGTTCTGGTGGGATCCAGGTCCAATCAGACTCTTTTTTCCTTCTCGAATAACATTTGAGCGCTTTTTTGAAATGAAGATGCAACATAAAAATGATTCCTTGGTTATAGATTTCAAAAAAAAAGAAAAAGTCAGAGGATACTTTTTTTTTTTTTTAAAAAAATTGAGATCTAGATCATTCTGACGCAATTTGAATAATGTAAAACAGATCGCATGCTTTGAGTGGAGTCAGATCCGATGTGGGAGGAAACCTTTGATTCCACCATTTTTTGTGGCTCTCATCTTGTTCAGAAAGGTCGAACTCATCTATAATCAGGTGTACATCTTATAATATTTGTGATGCGATCCGGGTATTTTTAGGTTACTATCATTTTTGCACGTTTCTTTATTTTATTTTTACCTAAAAGCACACAAAGAAGTCTTCAAAAAATTACGTTATCAACTATATAATACCGCTCTTTAATTTGAAATAATAAGCTAGTTAATGATATGATGGTATTCTACTACCTCTGGTTCTTAATATAAGAGCTTATATAAGATCTCGATCCATTTTGTTTCTCATATTTATTTATTTATTTTCAAGACAGTTATTGTAATAATGGTAGTTGTAACCAATACACTTGATTAGCAAGTTAACTAGTTCTTATATTAAGGACTGGAAATAGTATTAAAGAAGAAAAATCAAGATTTACGTTTTTTTTTTTTTTGCTTTTTGTTTCTTGTATCTGTATACGACCCGCAACTTGGACAATTTTTTAAAATTTACTTTTAACTTTTGGGCTTTTGAATTGGGAGGAGCCAATGAGGCCCAAAAAGAAGTGTCCTAATAGCACTTTATTTCCAAGCCCATAATACTTACTACTGCCTTTTTTTTTTTTTGCCCCAAAACATGAAGAGATTTTTGAAAATTTCATTATTAGGCTCCAACTAATTCGGATCGAGTAAGCACTCATATCATATTTTTATTACGTGAGCTAGCCTTACGCAACTCTCACGACAATGGTTCATTGAATAGGATTAATGAATTTTATTTTGGTCCTTAAATTTATCTTTTTTAGTACAATTTTGTTTTCCATAAAAGACTAATACATAAATGCAAGTCTCCCCGCGTGTGGGAGTGAGAGTTCTCTCCGTGCAGACACGTGAGAGTGTTAGTTGGGTTTCTTGGCGGGAAAGGAGGTTTGAAGGAGATCGGTGATCGGAGTAGGCGGTTGTTTCAGGAGGTGTACTCGGCGGCTTGTTTACTAATTTACCTCTCCTAATTGATTTTGCGATGGCTTCAACTAGCCGAGAGGAGGAGGACCATACGATTCTTGATTCACTAGTTTGGAACAAGGAAGAAGCTAAATGTGTTTTGATCGGGAAGATTCTTTTTGATAAAGAAGTGAATCGCGGCATTGTTGAGACAGTGGTGAGGAAGGCGTGGAACCTTCCTTCTGGTTTGGATGTTGTTGCGATTGCGAAAAATGCTTTTCTGTTCAAATTTGCTAAGGATGTTGAGTATAACCGGATCTTGCGAGGTCGTCCTTGGGCGATCAATGGACACTTACTTAATCTACTAGAATGGAAGCAGTTTATGACGATTGAGGACTGTGATTTTAGTAGATGTCCTTTCTGGATCCAATTACATGGTGTTCTGCTTGAAGTTTCGAAACCTTCCGAACGCTATCGTAATTGGAAGAAGACTTGGTGATGTGGTGATGGCTGAGGATCTGAATTATAATAACCAATTAATAAGAAGTTTCTTACATGTTCATGTTGTTTTGGATCTAAGGAAGCCATTAGTAGCAGGCTTTTGGATTCCTAAACCGAATAAGGATAGAGCCTGGGCTGTAGTGAAGTATGAGAAATTGCAGGACTTCTGTCATCGTTGTGGATACATTGGACATGATTTTCGGACCTGTCGCTGTCCAAAATTAATGTCAATTACAGATCCTAATGTACTGAGATATGGAGCATGGACCTCAACAGAGCAAGTACATACTTGGGAAGAGACGCTGGTCTTAGTCAAGGAAGACTGGTCTGAGGTCAACATTAAATGGAAAAAGCAAAAAGAAGGGAAGGTTTGAAGGCCAATAGAAGCCCTCAGAATGAGAAGGATATCTTCTCCATTCGACAGAACAGGAGGTTGTTTGATCGGGAAGTAAATTTTGCAGAGATAGATGAGGTTGAAGAGGATAAGAAGTCTGGTGACAAGCCTCCTGCTGATCTGGATGGTAAAACTAATGAGCCTGGATGTGTATATGGAAATTTGGATAAACCAGGTCCTAGTGAAGTTGACTCCAGTGGATATAAAGATCCTAAAGAAATCCAGGTACCTGGTAGAACTGGTTGTAATAATGTTTGCAAAACTAAGGCTGTTGATAATTCATCTGGAATTACTCACAAAGAGGATCCTATGAAGGCTCTGGTTGTTTATGTAGGAAGAGCAATTAATGAAGTAACTGAAGATTTAGGGAAGCTAAACCTTAAAAGAGAAGCTGAAGTGAAGATGGAATCTGATTTTTGGAAAAGAAGGAGGATCTGTGTTGAAGAGAGGAGTAGTTAGAAGAGCATCTCTATTTTTGCTGGAAATTTGAGGAGAGCAAAAATGAAGGCTAGAGGTAAGTCAGGGGGATTGGCTTTATGGTGGAAGGAAGAGGTGACCGTGACTATCTTGTACTCATCAGTAAACTTGATTCATGTTAGAGCTAGTTCTCCTGGATTGAATATTCCAGATTATATTACTTTCATATATGGTGCTCCTAGGGAAGGTGACAAGGAAATTGTCTAGAGAAGATTGAGAACCTTGGCTTGGGGAGTTGATGGGTCATGGTTATGTGTGGGTGATTTCAATGAGTTGGGATCTCAGCAAGAGAAAGAGGGAGGTAGACCCGTCTCTCTTCGAAGAATTGTGAATTTCCAAAACCTTCTTGATGACCGTGGATTGATTGATCTGGAATTCAAAGGCTCAAGGTTTACTTGGTGCAATAAAAGATTTGGAGCTGCTAATGTTAAAGAAAGAATTGACAAGGCTTATGGTAATATACAGTTTAGAGAAAGCTTTGAGAAAGCTCAAGTCTTCCATTATGAGCCCATTAGGTCTGATCACCACCTAATTCTAGTTGATTGTTGTTATGTCGAAGAGAAGGTTCCAAAAATGTTCAAGTTCAATGCTATTTGGATTAATCGTGAACATTATAAGGGAACTGTGATAGAGGGATGGGTGGGGATGGAAGAAGCCTGTTTAATGATGTTGAGGATTTTGTAAGACGAGTAGGCACATGTCGTGAGACGTTAATCTCATGGAGCAGGAAAATGTTTCCCAATAATAGGAGACTGATTGAGGAATTACGGTGGAAGTTGGATGAATGCTATGAAGGGGTATGGACTGAAGAAAAAGCAGGTAAAACTACTGAGATCCTTAAGTTGATTGAGGAAGCTTGGGACCGTGAAGAACTGTATTGGTGGCAAAAGTCTAGACTTAATTGGATAAAGGATGGGGATTGTAATACTCGATTCTTCCACACTACGGTAATTCAAAGGAGGCAGGGGAATAAAGTGCTAAGGTTGAAATCTGATGATGGCACTTGGATTGAAGACTCTGCAGGTATTGACAGCATGTTTGAAGCCTTCTACAAAGATCTTTTTGCTTCCAAGGTGCCTGAGCATTTGGAAGAAACTCTCAGTTATGTTAAAGAAGTGATCACTGCATAAGAGAATACTGTGTTAACTAGTATGGTGTCTGACTCAGAAATTGAAGTTGCTGTGTTTGATCTAGGTTCCACTAAAGCTCCCAGGGCTGATGGCTTTATTGCTCTTTTCTATCAGTCTGCTTGGACTGAAGTAAAGAAGGAAGTTTATAAGATGGTAAGGGGTTTCTTTGCAGGGCATTTGAGTATGAGAAACTTGAATCTTACGCAGATTGTTTTGGTACCAAAGTTAGATAAACCTGAGACTGTCTCTCAGTTCTGACCAATTGGGTTATGCAATGTTTCTTATAAGATCATTGCAAAGATCATGACGGCTAGAATGAGAAACTTGATGAGTAAGTATATCTCGGAGCAGCAAAGAGCCTTTGTAGCTGGGCGGGTAATCCAGGATAATGTGATTATAGCTCATGAAGTATTTCAATACCTGAAAAGAAGGAAAGAAGGAGTCAGGTGTGACATGGCCTTGAAAATTGACTTAAGCAAAGCCTATGACCGTGTGGATTGGGTCTTCTTGATGGAAGTAATGTTGAAGATGGGTTTTTGTGTTAAATGGGTCGGATGGGTCATGGAATGTGTCACTTCAGTAGAATTTGAGTTGCTAGTTTTTGGTAGGAAAGTGGCTCGAATTAGTCTTGATAAAGAGTGTGGCAAACTCAATCCCAGTATACCCGATGTCAAGTTTCCTATTTCCAAAGAAGAGCTGTAAAGAAATTGATAGCTTGATCTCTGATTTTTGGTGGGGTCAGAATGATAATAAAGGAAAAAGGATTCATTGGAGGAGATGGGGTTTAATGGCTAATGCAAAAGAAGCTGGTGGAATGGGATTTAGAAGCTTTCAAGCTTTTAATAAAGCTTTACTAGCTAAAACAGCTTGGAGGTTGATTCAAAAACCAGATGATCTTTGGTGCCGTGTTCTGAAGGGTATCTACTTCCCAAACTGTAGCTTTATGGAAGCAGTGAAAGGCGGTAAGGCATCTTGGTGTTGGATGAGTATTATTGAGGGAAGGGAGCTTTTGAAGAAGGAATTATTCTGGAAGATAGGAGTTGGTAAAAATGTGAGAATTTGGGGAGATAAATGGATACTAGGATTGATAGATAATATGCTTGAAACTATCCCCCAAGATGAAGCTTTGAGAAAGCTGAAGCTAGAAAATATCATTAAGGATGGAAGGTGGGATCTCAGTAGCATTACCAATTACCTATCAGCTGTTGAGAAGGAAATGATTCTTAAGGTTGATGCTTCAAAAGTTGATAGAAAAGATGAGGCAGTATGGTTGTTATGCAGAGACGGGAAGTACAATGTTAAATCTGGCTATCATGTAGCTAGAAGAGAAGAGGAGTTCGCTGTGAATTTGGGAGTTGGAAGTTCCTATCAGACACCGAAGCAACTATGGCAGTGCATCTAGAGCCTACACGTCCCTCCAAAAATTAAGCAATTTATGTGGAGAATGTTGAATGATGCTATCTCAACTAAAGATGCTTTGTTTAAAAGAAGATGTGGCTGAGATAACTTGTGTCCAATTTGTGGCTCTGAAGCTGAAACTATTGAACCTTTGATTTTGTTCTGTCCTTGGGCTTATCGGTGCTGTTTTGGTTGTTCCCTGACTTTAACCATTCAAAGAGATCAAGTTACTTGCATCAAGAATTGGTGTGAGGAAGTCCTCCTAAGGAATAAGAATGTCTCTGAAGAAGGAAGGGCTCTAATTACAGCTCTCTGCTGGGGTATTTGGAAAGGAAGGTGTGACTGGGTTTTTAATGCAGCAAAAGTAGACTCTGAGAAAGTAGTAATGACTGCTACAGCGTTGGTCAGAGAGGTATGGGGTACTTTGGCTTCTAATGCTGTTAGGACTCCTAGAAGGGAAGGTGGGAGAGTGGTAAGGAAGATCTCCTGGGAAACTCCTCCAAAAGGCACTGTGAAGATTAACCCTGATGGTGCGTTCCTCAAGCAATCTCGTCAGGCAGGAATAGGAGTGGTTTGCAGAGATTGGAGGGGGAACTTCTTAGGAGGATTGAGCTGTAGTACAGAGGCTTCCTCTACGTTTGATGCTGAGTGCTTGGCTCTAAAGCAAGCTATATTGATTAGTGATCGTTTTTCTGATATGAGAATCTGCATTGAAGTAGATTGTGAGGAATTGTACAAGGCAGTGTTGGCTGGCACCACTGATGACGTGGAATGGTAGGGCGTAGATTCTTTGTCAGATGCTCTTAATTTGCTGAAAGATAGGTCCAATGTGGTGTTCTCCTTGGTGGCTCGCTAAGGTAATCATGTTGTAGATGTTTTGGCAGCTAGTGGAAGCAGGAGGGTGGGGCCCAGTGGGTGGCTTCTTGAAGCACCACCTTCCCTATTAAAGGTTCTGCGGACTGATTCTTACAACAAAGGAAGAGCTGACCATCCTGAAGGTCAGGTGACTGCGGACCGTGAAGGTATTGGTTGAGCTGCTTTAGACTTTAGGTGCTCTTTCTTTTGAATTGGTGGCTGTATTTTCTTTTGTGAGTTGTGTTCTAGGTTGTACTTAGGTTTTTTTGAGTGCTTTCTTGGCTTCGGCTATTGGTGTTTGTACTTGATTTTTTTCTATTAATAAAATGGACTTTGTTTTGTCAAAAAAAAAAAGACTAATACATTAATACTATTTTCGGTCTTTAATATAAGACCTTATTTGATTTTTATTTTGGTCATAAATATAAGACCCCAATCCACTTCTCATATTTATTCATTTTTTTCCAAGATAATCTTTTTAATAATAATAGTACTAGTCAATATGCTTGCTTAGTAAGGATATTTTAGGAAATATAACACATATTTGTTGCAAATAACTAACTTAACTTCTTTCCTTAATCTCCTCAAATTAGTCCACTAGCTCTTATAAATAGGATTGGAAGTAGTATTATCCAGACAGCTTATAATGGAAGAGCTGACTCAATGGAATTGATATACTGGGTCACGACTCACGAGTCAAACCTCACTACTCCTATTTGCTTTCATTTATTCCTAAATTTCTCATATCTCATCATCACGCTTCATGCCTATCCATTCCTCGCGATTCCTATCAACTATATAAAACTCTGAAACGCAAGAAGCTAACGTTATAATAAACCAAGCCTCTTCTTCTTCTTCTTTAAGTGTCTATGAGGATTGAATCACAGATGGTGAAAAGGAGAGAGGAATTACCAAAAGGACATTTAACGATCAAGGTGGGAGAAGAAGGAGAAGTGAAGGAGAGGATAGTGGTGGCAGTGAAGTACCTGAACCATCCTCTATTTGCTGAGCTCTTGAAGGAGGCCGAGCATGAATATGGCTTCTCTCAGAAAGGACCCATTATTATTCCCTGTCCCTTGAAGCAGTTTAGGTACGTTCAGGGCTTGATCGACAGCAGCCAAAATTCCCTCCATTGCCATCGCCGTCTTGCTGCATGCTTCAGGCTTTGATTTTTAATCCCTTTATAGAAATCATCACTTGTAGGTATAGCTATTTATGCAGTTCTGTGTTGTTATATACTCAAAACTCATCAAAAAGTTTTGTGAAGTATAAATGTCTCTATAAACTTCATTTGAGCAGCAAGATTTGCTTCAATATTGATGAGGTCATGAAACTTAGCCTATCAACTGAAAAGATAAACTGATGAATCTCTGCAGATGGATTCGGTTTTTTGTACCATAACATTCTAAAACAAAATTCAGGTGCACCGCATGGATCATTCATTAAGAGCAGGCTGCCTTGCAAACAAGGGACGATGATTCCATGGAAAGTTTCTATCTTTTTGCTTGCAATTTGTAATATGTTGTCATTCTCTGTTATTAAAGGAAGAAACTTCAATCCCGGTCCTCCCTCTCCCTCTCCCTATCTCTTTCGTCTTTAATTTCCCCCCTTTGCTTTCGCTTTATTTTTATGATTATTCTTTCCTTTTCTTTTCTTTTTCCTTGTCATCTGTTACGAGAGTGGGGAGTGTTATTAATTGATAGTTATGCACAAGTAAGCAACTTGCTGCAAATTAAAGGAACACAACGATTTTTGAAAAAGAAAACACGAGACAAATTACGACACAAAATATCGTCCCAAATAAAAATCTGCTGTGCCTTGATGGTGATGAGTCCTCAAAATTTAACTCACACAAACTTTTACAATACACAAAAAAAAAAATCTGCAGAAAAAGATGGGGAGTTGTATATTATATAAAGCCTTGGAAAGTAGAAGGGAAAAGAAAAAACAACCTACACAATTTGATCCCCTTGAAAAGTTGCCCATCTTTGTTTGTTCATTGAATCTCAATATGGCTGAGCAGCTTTGTTTTAATTCCATAGATATTTCTCCATATATTTTAAGAGAATTTCAAAGTTACAAAATTAAATATAATCTTTTAAAAAAAATTCAAACTATTATTTCACTTATGTATTGTACAAGAGAGAGGAAACCTTGTTGCGATGATACAAGATATGTTTGCAAATATTCCGCTCACTAGGAAAATGTCTACGTATTTTCAAAGTTGTGTATCGATCACTTGGAAAATGTCACTAACCAAATCAAAATATATTATTAAAAAAAAAGAAAGAAAAATACTTTTTTTCCCTAACCTGTGCTTTCATTTCTCGGATTGCATCGACAACTCTCATGTGAAGCGATCACGTGAAAATACGTTTTTTTCTCCAACCATCGTGCTTTTTTTTTGGGGGGGGGGGTTCAAATCCAAATCATCTTTATGAGTTGCAAATGTAAGCAGCTAAGAGCCCATTGGTCGGTGACGCGAATCTGGCTTGATTTAGGGGGGAAAAAACCTACGTCAGGTGGAAAAGAGGTATATAAATATGAAAAGACTAATACGCTCGATGCTTAAGATTTTAAATCAAGATGCGACATCAAACTGACAAACTCTGTTTATACACAACTATTTTTGTTGTTGGTTCAGATCATATCCCAGAACGTCGCAAAAGGTAGCAAGTTTCTGTCTTCTTTTGAAGACCTTCTATCTCTCACTGGATGGAGAAACAAAATCGCTAGTATAATGTTAAACCCAGCTAATAATTTCTTGATGTTAAAACTTTGACAAAACTCAAACTAACCAATGATAAGGATTTTTATTTAAACAAATTACAAGCTTTAGGGGATTTTTTTGGGTCAAGTTTTAGAAGGCGAGGCAAATTATTTACATATAACAGAACAAATTCTGTAATTTAACCTTTATGCTAAACATTGAACAATAATGATGATAATATTGGAATTAATATTTACAGAGAGGGTAAATATTTACATTTTTACACGTCTTATAGTGGGATGAGGTAGCTGGATGCAAAAAAATTGGTCATATCGTCCGCCAACTTAGCATCCCTTAAACTATAGATTTAAGATTGTTACCATTCTGACACTTTCTGACCTTCAACGAGAACCCCAGCTGCAAGTGCAATGCATTAATCTCACACCAAATAAAAAATAAAATCAAGAATTACCATCGACAGATTCCGGGTGCCTCTGTTCTGCTCAATGCTAATACTTCTTCATACTTAGAAGCATATACAAAACCCCATAACTGCATGATTGAACCAGTGCCTGGCTAGTTAGATATTCTATTTGGGTCGATATCATCAAAAGGTGACAGTGTGTGTGTGTGTGTGAGAGAGAGAGAGAGAGAGAGAGAGAGTTAGGTGCATCTACCTCTACTTCCTTAACTTCAAAGTCCTGAGAATGTGCAAGGCAAGGATTTCCATAAGTTTCTGAGACTGAACTAGACCCGTTCAATCTGGAGCACGGATAACAAAGTTGGGGGAAAAAACCGAAAAAGATCATATCAGGTAAATGATATCAACAAAAGGAATGATAACAAGTTTGACAGGGGTAGATAAAAGATAGCATAATGTAAGATAGAATTCTTACAGATCACCGTCCAAATAAAGCGCAAAATGACCTCCCCCACCAACTGCTAGAAAGTCAGTGGTGCAGAGTGTGAAATAGCGGTTTACCCCTGCAAAAATTGTGGCTATTTTGAACATAGCTGGTTGTTGGCAAAAATATAATGAAAGAAGGAACATAACTAGTCAACAGAAGTAGGTTTAGAATCCCAAATCCAGGGCAAATCAATTATCCATGGATTGGGTCTAAAATGCCATCCATGGTTTTGCCAAGTCGCAACAGTATGTTTTATAATATAAACAATACCTCAGTCTAACCTTGAAAAACTATCAGAGTGTAACCAGACAAAATTAATCTATTTTATTTGCTAGCAAAGCAGAATCAGCACGCTGTAAAAGAGGGAAAAAGAAGATCCTATTTTTATATAAATCAATAAATATATACCTGTTGGACGATATACAGTAGGATGGCCAGTGGCGTCTGTGAAAACAAATGTATTATTTGTTCCCTGTATAAAATCTAATGTCAACAATATGCAACATGAAACAACAATAAAAGCAAGATGGCTAAAAGGGAAAAAAAGAAGAAGAAGCAACAATGCAAATAAACTGTAGAAAAGTATTAGCATAGTTTGTGGGGTAAGAGAGTTCAGGCATGACCTGATATTTTCTCTTGCTTGATGGCTTTAGTGGTGCTTCAACCAAGCCACCAAAAACTGCACCTTTGCGATCTCCAACAACCTGGATAAGATAAGATCATTCTGAGATAAATGAAAAGAACTTACCCTGACAAATTAAAGGACTCAAGAATTCAGTATCCTTGTTAACTTGCAAAATAATGAAGGTTAGTGTATTAATCTGAACTAAGCACTTTGATTTACAGGTTGAATTTAAAATGAAGAATGACTTTAAATTGAAAGGCTCGGACAGTTAAACCGGTAAGCTTACAAGCATGGAACATTAACAAGTACAGTAAACAGCTGCAACCATTGAACAGCGATGAGACAGGACAATTAGAATGGTTGGTAATGGCACAAGGTTCTACACAGCCAAACATCCATACCAAGTTATCAAGGTCAAGAATAGGAAATGTCATTGATATTGATATATGGTCAGATCACCATTAAATAGCATGACCTACCATTAAAGTTTTAAACAATATTTTGAAATAGAATTCACATATAAAGTAAATAAGAATCGACTATGATGCAGAATTTCAGTCATATACTCAATTTGCCAATATAACCCACTCTCAGTAAACATCAAATTGTCCGCTCAGAAAAGTCAATTTTTGCTTTTCATTTCTTAAGCGTAGCAGCACTAAAATGGACTCATGCTCAGGATTTATATTGCTCAGGGGTGAGAAAACCATACCAGCAAACTCAAGCCAGGCCAAAGCATGCTTCTCCTGTACAGAGTTGAAAGTGATATTCCATGCCTCCATGTACTGCAGGAAGTGATTAGAAAGGTTACAAAAAGGCTTCACGATCATTATTTTGTTGTTGGAACTTAAAAATAGATTCTTGCTTGCCCTGACAAATCTTCATCCTCATGTTACCTATATAGAAGCATCCATTTCCTCCCATGAATAAGAGCTGGAAGAGAAGCATAAAGAACATTTCGTATTTTCTCTGAAAGGAGCACTGAAGGTTCAGAAGTTTCTGAGAGACCATCCAATGATATTTGCTCTTCCTTAGGTTCAGTATGGCTCATCTCAACACCAGCTAATTGGGAACCATGTCCATCATCTAATTTCGTTTCAACATCAACCTTGCGCTCTTGAGAGCGGAATCTAGTGATTCTTGCAGCTTGGTTGATAACTCTTCCAAGTGATTGCTTACCCCTAGATAACAAACTTTTCTTTCCACTACTATTTTCCTTCATGGCTGAGTCAGGTGGAGGCATATCAGTTCCACTCTTATGGTCATTTTGCCCATCTGAGTTTGCATTATCTCCAGAATATGAAGAAGACAAGAAGGAATAGAGGAATGCAGAGAAGGATGAAGTGTCAGGGCCATCAAATAAATTCTGGTTGCTATCCCGATTAGTTGACTCCAAATCAGTTACATTTGATGTGTCCACGGCTTCCTATGTAAACAATCAGCAGTCAGATTTTAAAAGGAAATCCCTCTTAATTCCAGTTCAGAACAAAATTTCCTAATGCAATGAGCGGGGAAAAGTCATACAAAGGGCAAGAGAGAAATACGAACACGCTCTATACATTTTTTTTTTTGGAAAAAAAAATTGTATGGCCAGATGTACAGAGCTTATCCTGCCTAGGTAATAAAGGGCCAATTCACCAGCGAAAATGATATGCAGTGTCTCTATAATTCAATGGAGGGCAAGAGAGGAAAGAAGTCCATAATCGTAACCAAGTAACCAAAAATCAAATGGAAATTACAATACAGAAAAAAAAAGAAGATCATAGATTATGACCAATTTGGATGAATAAAAGGCCAACGATTTGATCAGGGGAAGGAACAGAAAGATCCTTCAAGGTAAATGGGACAAGAAATAGAGAGCAAACGGAAGGCAAGAACTTACAGGAGGAGGAGGAGGAGGAGGAGGACCAGGTTTAGAGGGTTTGTCAGAGATGGGGTTGAGTATACCAGTGGTGAGATCCGACACAAAGTGAGCCGCTTTGCTGCGCAGTGATTGCTTTCTTCCCATTTCTATATACTGCAGAAGATGCTACGAATTTCCACCTCAAAATCTTGTGTTGTGGTTTGCGAACACAATCACATTGGCATCGTCTTTAGACAAAGATTCCTATATTCCATCTTCCATCTTCCACTTGGGTTTCATTTTGGGACAAAAAGACCACAGATCAGAAATATACGGCGACCGGCGCCGAACAGGGAAGAGAGTAATGTTGAAGCAACAAAATCGTTTCTTGTAGGTGCAACAGCGCTTTCCAGTCGACGTGTCATCTAACACCTGCAGCTGGTAATAGTCGTCAGCCGGCTCCCTTATTTTTATAATTTTATGGGTCTGATTTGGAAGGATGCTTCAGCCAGCTGAAGCCAAACCTTTTTCCTTTGAGGCCGAACTATTTCGTTTCTGCGTAATAATCCAGAGTTCGATCACGTAACGTCGGTGAAAATCGAAGGTGAAAATTGGTAATTTATGTTTACCCTGCGAATGCAATCTAACGTAACTGTTGAGGAAGCTCAAGGTTAAGGCTCTTCAATCATGCTTGTTTACCTTTTTTATGGATACAGCATTCAATTTAAAAATTAAGGCAAGGTAAAATTAATATTTAACATTCGACTCCAGTTCAACTCCATTAGTTGTCATATTAAAGAAGGAGAATTAGGTAACGTAAAGGCCGTTAAATATAGAGAATAAGTTTAAAAAAGAAAAGAAAATGAAATTATCCTCAATTTTTCGTGCATATATCTTTATGTTGAAAAAAATAGACAGAGAAACGCTGGTCAGCGATAAAAAGAGAATTCAGGAAATGATAATGATATTGGATACTTCTGAAACAGGACCTCAGTAAAAACGAATTTTTTTTTGGCCATTAATAAGAATGAATAATTAATCAAATTAATCGATTCCGTATAATTCTAATTATAAAAATACAATGTTATTTAGTTAATTGTGTAAAAACTAAGAATATACATTAGATGTTTTAAATATTTATGGAAACATTCATAATAGGCATTCGGATCTAGTAAATTGTTATTACGATATTTGAACCTGAAATATATTTTAAAAAAAAACCGAATTACTACATAGTGTTAATAAATAAACTTTTTACTCTTCAATTTAAAAGGACTATCTGTTGGTTTTCTTTTTAAATATAGGTATTTTTTTAATTAGAGGCAATTCTATTCAAACATTATCAAACATTAAATATAGATATTTCTCTCAATAAAATTTTAAATTTTAATTCACTATATTATGAAAATTAAACCCTTCTACTAAACCAATGATTCTTTGGTTTTAGCAGATGGGCAGATGGATGGGGATGCTGTTACCCACGTTTCATAGTTTTGCGTTCGGGCCCCGATGTTTGAGCCAAGCATCGAAGTATTGGACCGAACCTGTAGCCTGTAAGCTATTTCAGATTAAGAAACGGGGCCATGAGAGAAGTATAAATCTATAAATAATATCATTGCCGACGATGCAAACATCAAGACTCCATGGCCCAATGGATAAGGCGCTGGTCTACGGAACCAGAGATTCTGGGTTCGATCCCCAGTGGAGTCGTGATGCACTTTTGAAATTTTCATGAGCACTCTTTGTCGGGGTTCATTTTCCTTATGCATGCTTTCTTTTAATTTGTTGTTCCAAGTTTCCAGCCAACTGAAATGGTGAGAATTAAAGTTATGAGACAGAAATGAAAGGCCAGTTATATATATTTCTGCCATGATGTTCTTCCAAAAATCTCTTGTTTGCCGCTCAAGAGATCAAATATGGGAAGTCACTCACCATAATGGCTACGCCGCCATTGCCAAGTAGTCGTTATCCTGCAGGATATGTATGCAGGTTTTCTATTACCTACGTTTATCCGCTTGAAACTAAGCTATTTGAGTGTTAAGAAAACTAAACTCACCTAATTAAACTTGATTGTATATAATATTTTTCCAGTGTTCTCATATCTATGTCTTGCTCTACAAGACCTTGTGAACCAACATCTGGAAGTAATTAACCGAGTTCCGACTTGTGCATAACCCTCCTTGCTCGCTTGTAAATTAAACATTCATGTCAATACGTGTTATTTGTAAATGTCAATAATTTCTTTGCACGCAAGCGAAAAGAGAGAGCACAAACAGACGAAACACAGAAACTTAACTCTAATTTGTTGCTTTTTGGTAGTTAAAGAGAGAGCATACTTTTTTTGTTCATATTTATAGGTACAAACCATCAATGTAAAAGAGGATGTATTAAATAACGCTAGGGTAAAAAAGAAATTTTAAAAAAAATTGTTTTAAAAAAAACCATGAGAATCACAAAACTGCAAATCAGGTATTTTGCAAAAAATTTGCTGTTATTTGCCATTTTATTGTTATCAAAACCTATGTAATGGGTTCTGATTTGTGATTATGTAGTTTTCATGGTTTTTTGTTTCAAATTTTCTTATAAATAATGGCAGCACCGCAGGACAGGAGTACATAACAATTAACAAATATTCTAAAGTAAATTGGCATACACCCCCACCACCAACCCCTCATTAGTAAATATCAGCAGTGAAGTACATGGAACCTTCAAGCCATCTTCGGTGGAAATAGCTGACCTGTATGCATCCAGTGATCTCGCCCTAGTGTTAGTCACCACCACCAACTTCCACACGAGAAATGTCGATTAACTCATTTCATGATTCTTCACTATATTTGTACTTGATTATTCTATTCGCCAAACTAGTTACTACGTGCAGCTTTTACTATATATACGGATGCTTTATTTTTCTTTCAGCATATCATAATCTAGTGCTTATAATTATATATGCATATATTGGATAAGATGAGCATTTTCAAGTGTCCATTTTGATAATCTATGAATGGGATAACAAGTTTATAATGACTAGATTGTCTTTTTTCAAAAAAAAAAATAAATAAAAATTAACTAGAGAGATAGAGTTAAGGAGACTACATAGGTATTTGGATAAAAACCCAATCATAATTTTAAAAATAATTTCACGATATACAAAATATATATATGAGAGGTGTTTTGTCTCGATTTGAGTGTAAAATATGAATGATAAAAGAGAGGTGTATCATGCATAATTTCTTAAGGATAGTTTATATTTTATGTTAATTAAATTTCTTCACGGGGGATTGTTTAAATTTGGCCCAAAAGAAAAAGGGAATTTATAAAACGATAATAAAATTGAAAGAACCGCAGAGTTATTATTCAAGAATGTCAGCAAGGCATCACTTTTTGGGGGACAGCGGGAGGTGTTACAGATTTTGTGGAGTGCGCACTTTTCTTAACGATGCTTCCGTGTCATTTCAGTTGCGGAAATCTATTTTCCTTTTGGCGCTGCCACGCAGTAATCATGAATGGCACATAATCCCCAAGAAAACCAAAAGGATTTACCCAATCCCCTCCCCGGTTTCTTTCATAAATTGGTGTGATTTAGCATGATATGGTACTTATTATAGTGTTGATATTATTAAGATTGGGGGGATTGATGCCAAATCTGAGCAGTAGCGGTAATACTCCTCCGGTTCTTAATATAGGACCTAATTATTGAGTTAGTTTTTGTTCTAAATATAAGACCCATTTCTCATATTTATTAGTTTTCTCTAAATTACCCTTATGAATATTCTCTCAACTATAATCAAGTAGAAGAGGAAGATGGGGTATTAAGAAAGATGATTATGGTATTTTAGAAAAAATGTGTCACATTTCTTATAATTAACTAACTTACCTAATTTCCTTAATCTAATCAAATTAGTCAAATAGGTCTTATATTAAGGACGGAGGAGTATAAAGACTTTAGAATCGATGCGACGCAAAGTAAGGAACCTGCGTTTGGAATTCACAAAGTAAGGCCTAACACTTGTTTCTCCGAACTTATTCACGCGCCATAAGGCCATAACCATATGCTTCTCTTAATAAATAAACACTAATGATTCCACAACACGCCCCTCCTTTCCAATATTCTCCTCTCCCACCATCCTTCCCTGCATCTTCTCACAGATTTCTACCCCTTTTGATGCTCTTTTTTCCTTCCTGACCGTATATTTTCAGCACTATAGACACAAATTGGATGCCTCTATGCCGCCCTTTTTGACATTTTTTTTAATCATCCTCCACCCAACGAAATAACATGGCAAGTACATAATTTGTTATAAAGTTTATGCTAATTAAACTAAATTAATTTTTTTAGTGTCTATTTATTTATTTAATTATTTTGTAGCTTATGAGTTTAGATGCCCTTTGATCGTTGGATTGGAAAGCGACGAAGAGGGTACACAGAGAGGGAGGGAAGGGAGTCGCGCAGCAGACGATGGCCTTGTGCTCCGGCGCGAGGGTGGGAACGGAAACGAAAAGGACATGTTTGGGATTTAGTAAAATTCTCCACAAATATTTGACACCCTTGTCCAACACCCGCTCACCATGTTATGCAGTTATCGCAGCGCCCCTTGTCTCTTCATTTTGCTCCCTCTCGTGTCCGACTTCGCTCTCCGCTTCACCTTTTCTTTTTTAAAAAACCATGTTCTTTTTATTTAAAATTATTAATAAATTAAATGCATCTGAATCAATAGATGCCTTACATGAGAAATAATATTATTGACAGGATATAACCTCGCTTATAATGCTTCTTCTCCGAATTGCAGATTGAATTTAATTTTCTAGAAATCTAATAATCATCAAATTCAAAGGCAGAAAGGAAAAATGAATTATTTATAGTTAGAATAAAATTAGGAAGAGAATATACAGAGGATATTGATAATGGAAATGGAAATGAACTGAAAGTACGAGAAAAGTAAATGTGAGGGTGCGTAGGGGCAAACAGTGGGTGGCCACGTAAGCACGAAATAACGTTGGTACGGCTCCCTGGACATGTTTCACGCCTGCTGTTGCCTGTCTCACTGACCATTCCCGTCCACTCCCTACTCACCGCCCACGTGTCCCTTCCTACCCCATCCACCCTCCACCTGTCCATTTGCCAATAAAACTTAAAATTAATTTTAAAATCGACACTTCTTGAAAAATAAATTTATTATTAAATAATCATATAATCCATATCAGATATAAAACTAGCCAAGCATACTTATCCATGACTTAGCCTGTGACTAATTTTTGTCACATGTATAATTTAAATTAAATATAAGCCTTCGGAAGCTCATCGTGATGATAACATCTCATGAATCGCCATCCTGCGAGCCTCGATTCTCGAAATAAAGGTCGGCGTTGCATCTGATTCCCCCCAATTTTCTATTTCCGTAGACTTTGGGCAAAAGAATATGATTGGTCCCAAAAAAGATGCTGATCGAGATCGTCAAACCTTATTAAGATCAAACGGTTCAGAATCCCAGCTCCCCCTCTGGCTGTCCTATATATACTGCCAAGTGCGAGCGTTTAAACTCGCCTGGCGCAACGCCACCAGCCATGATGGAGGCAGCAAGATCTCTGAGATACTCATCTCAGACGCCAGTCTCTGTTTCCTGGTGAAGTTTTTCATTTTTTTCAGGAAACAAATACTAAAGTTTGAGTCTTTTATATATATATATATATATATATATATATATTAGGGAATTTGCAGAGAGATGGGTGGTGGTGAGATGAGGAGCCTGAGGAGCTTCCAGTTCCGACATCATCATCACGGGAAGAGACAACAACAGGGGATTCCTAAAGGGTGCCTGGCGATTAAGGTGGGTCAAGAAGGAGAAGAACAGGAGAGATTTGTGGTGCCCGTATTGTACTTCAATCATCCATTGTTCTTGCAGCTCCTGAAGGAAGCCGAAGAGGTATATGGCTTCGACCAGAAGGGAACCATCACCATCCCTTGCCATGTGGAAGAGTTTCGGACTGTACGAGGCTTGATCGATGGGGAAAAGTCATTTCATCGTCACCACCACTATCATCATCATCAGCCCCACCATCATATTGGGTGTTTCGGGTTCTAATTCTGGTCAATACTTAGTAGACTGACATAATAACCAAAAGAGAGAGAAGAAGAAATGCAATGTTCTGAGTGAGAGATGAATGATCTCTGGGTTGTTAGTTGAATACTTGAATTAGTGATGTAAATTCCATGCAGTGTTTTGGGTTCTCTGTGTTTGCAGTGCCTGCTTATTCTCACCTGCATATATATGTAATGAAAAAGAGATGCTTTGTTAGCATCTGTTTCAGTGATCTTTAGCGTTTCTTCAAGTTTTCTTTTCTGCGTTGGAGAATCGATGTTCGCCATTTTAATTGGATCGTCACTCGTCAGAATCCATAGACTTTTCAAAGCAAAAGCAAAGAACATGCGTGCGGAGCGTGAGCGTGAAGGCCCTGCAAATGGGTTCTTTTTTAGGCACTACCTATATTCATGATTGGCTTCGCCATAGTCCGTGGTCATTCCATCTATCCTGTATATTACAAAATCTGCCTGTATTATAATTAAAATATATAGTTTATATTTTTCTTTAAAAAATTCCCAAAAAAATATTTTTAAATTTCAATTGCAAATTAGTCTTGTTTACCGTACTTTAATAACAATTAATAATATTTAAAAATAAATAACAATATATTTTTATAATAATTTCTGATTCTGATTTGGGATTTTAAAATTTTAAATGGAAATTTTTGGGGTCTTCTTATTTTTTACCAGCAATAACATAGTTTATATTGAATTCTACACAAATTACAAGTCGTCACAATCTTAGTTGACGGATACATACATACATATATATATATATATATATATATCAGGTTCTCTATTTTTTTTTTTCATCTGGTGAGTAGTATATTTAGATTTAGCTTTTATTAAGAAAAGGTTAAATTATATAAATTCTCCTAAATCTTTCTACATATGTAAACTCTCTCTCTCTCTCTCTCTCTCTCTCTCTCTCTCTCTCTCTCTCTCTCACAATTTTTAAAACTTGAGAAGAAATCCCAAAAAATTTTATTTTTCTGCAGACATCTATCCCTCCGCTCCTGATTCTTTCATTATTACTAATTGAGTGTAATACATTAATACTACCTTTAGTCCTTCACATAAAAACTGGCTGATAAGTTTGAGTAGACTAAAAAGTTTGTTGAGTTAGTTATTTGTAATAATTATAAATTGTTTTCTCTAAAATACTCTTGTTAATCATGTGTATTAGTTAGAACTATTATTTGTTTGAACCTTTAACATGTACAATTACTATAAGGACTACCTTAGAAAAAAAATGAACAAATATAGAAAACAAAATAAATTAGATTCTTATATTTAAAATCAAATTAAAAATTAAACTGGCTCTTATATTAAAAACCGAATGTAGTATTATTGACCGATTATTTTTTTTCCAATTTTATTTCTCTTGCATAGGTACTTCTTGAAAACTTTTAGTTATATGCAGATAATTCCACTTTCATATTATATGTTTTTAGAAAAGTAGCCGACAGATTAATAGTGAAAATGTTATTTGCATAAATTTTAAAATTTAGGAGTTTTTTGAAATGACGGGATCTGTTCATGCATAACCCAAAGTTTAGAAATTATATATTCTAAATGCATGCATTGTACCTTTTTTTTTTTTCCTTTTCCTGGTTAGATGAAAAAAGAAATGTCTTGATAATGAATAGAGCAAGAAGAATGAATCAGATAACCAGGAGAATCGCATCTCTGAACATATAAATTTAGATTCACTGTCTTTGTTAAAAAAATGTAAACATTTGACTTGGATGGTGTAAATTAATAAAATATAAAGTAAACAAGACTTAAATGAATTTTTAAAAAATAAAATGTAACGAAATCTGAATTATCTAAATACGACATACATGAATACTATAGTGCAAATTAAATAAAGAGATGTCTTAATTTTTGAAATGTATGGACGACGTTGGTATAGGCATTTGAAATAGGACATATCGCATTCATGTTTGTGGGGTCTGAATTTAACTGAATCACTGAATTTTTTTCCTGGAATTTCTATGAATGAGTGTTTAATTATTAAATACTAATAAATTAAATGATGGGATTTTTATATATTCGAATGGATGAGTGTTCTAAATTGGATTTGTATAGAGAAAAAGAAAGACACACATATGGGGAAGGTGCGAGTTGATGGTTGAAACGCTTCCACGTTTGTGATCCAAAATTTTTAATACTTAATGCCATAATGCTAATTAACTTAATGAAATTTATATCCCATTATTTATTCGCAATATCATTTGAGTTTAACTGAATATTTTCATAAGCAAGCGGTCAGAATTTAGGTGTAATGAGATGATTAAATATAATTTAGAGCCTTGGTGGTAATATAAGGCTCGCCTCTCATCGGTTTTAATTAAATTAAAATAAGTGAGTTAAATTTGAAAATAATATAAAATTAGTTACAACAACAAGATAAATTAATAACGAAAAGAAGTTTAAATGAATAGTTTTAAAGGACGATCTTTGCATCAATCAACATGGTATATTGAAGAGATATGTATTAAAGAGAACATATTATTTTAATTTGAAATTAATGGTCTAAATTCTGAACGCAGAGCAATCAGCTTAAAAAGCAAAGCATCTTTAATAAAATATTAAATTCAACATATTTTGAGTTAATTTATAGTGCTTCATTATGATTCGTGTATTGGTTAAGCAATTCATGAACTAATAATGATTGCAACTAAAGTAAAGCATGATATTAAAATTGAGACCAATTAGTTTTTCTTGTTATTAGAATCGTGGGGAAGAATATTGTATATAACTACCCATATACAAATTAAACAATATGCCCTGGCACGTTGAAATTGAAGAGGATAATCATAGACTTATTTTCGAATCTTTCTATGTTAATTATACTTTAAACCAGGGATGGCCATGGACATGGCACAACCGCGTGGGATTTTTTTTTAATAATAATTATCGTTACTTCCAATTCCAATTTTGTTTGACTTTCTTTAAAAAAAAAAAGTGAGCTAATATAATATTTGGTTCTTTAAATTTATTCTTATTTTGATTTTAGTTTCTCAATTTTTAAACTATAAGCTTTATTCTCTGGAGAAACAAAATAGTCCAAGTTTTATTAATTTATAAGGATCAATATTTCAGATAAAATAAAGTTTGAAGAACAAAAATCTATAATTTAAATTTTGAGAGAGCAAAATCAAAGTGAAAATAAATGTCAAAAATTTCTAAAGTTTTAGCTTATACCGACTTCACGTTCTTGTGGATTTTTTTTCCATGTTTAATTTCTAAAGTTTCGAGTATTTTATTATTCCATGTTCGCTTTCTTTCCCAAACAAATTATGATTTTTTTAATCAATATTTTCATTCATAATTCTTTTTGTGGCTATATTTTCTTTTGGATTGTTTCCATATATTATTTTTTTCATAATTCATAAGCTATGAATATTGAGAGAAATCCATATGTGATTGAATATTTTAGTTCTAAAATAAATCTATTCAACAACCGATTCAAATTTTATCATTGATAATTTTTCTTTTGTGTGTGCATAATATAATATAATATAAACTTATCAAATCTCCTGCTAAGAATTATCAGATCCAAATTAGACAGGATAATCAAATCTAAAATGATGTTTGGATAAAAAATCAAACCATAGTTTAGAGAATAGCTTTTGGAGAATAAATTTTTGGGATAATAGATTTTGTAAAAAAGTGATTCTGATAAAGTGAAAGTGTCTGCATAGCTGTTACTAAAAATACTTTTTATATATGCTAATTACTAAAAAAGGTATAAATTAATATGATAATTACATAAAAGATGAATTTTATAATATATTTTAATTTGAAGGAATAAAATTGTTAATAATATATTTTTATCAACATAATTAATGACATATAAGATAATATAATTAATAAATAATTAATATTTGTATATATATTTATAAAATATAAGACTAAATATGTTTATAAAAAATATTAAGGGTTATTAAAGTCATATTATTTGCTGAGATCTACTCTTACAGGTATAATCATACTCTTTAATTTGAGCTAAAAGCATAATGAATTTACTTTTTCTGAAACCATGGTTTTGAATTCAAAACGATGCTTTTGGCCCCCAAATCATGGTTTGTCAATTTTGCTTCCTGTTTGGCAATTTTTTTACCTAAACCATGGTTGGGAATATTACCCAAACAGGCCCTAAAGATATATGAATCATAGTTTATATTACCATCCAGAGCAATTCTTGGGCCATTAATTATTGTCTGTGTGCGTATGTGTTTTTTTTATTTTTAATTAATAAGTCAACCCTAAATATTGTTTCTTACAAAAACATCGCGACAACATGCTGTAATCAAAACAATTTACATTTTTTTTCACCAAGAGGTCAATAAATATGTTAATTAAATATAGATATTTTATATAATTAGATTAATTAATGTATGCATCTGATGGGTATTTTTCATTATCTCCAAGGTTTAGACGTGAATTAACAATTGATTGAATTGAGAAAAAAAGTGTGCAAATAATATTATGGGCGTTTTAAAATTATTCAAATGAGCAATGGATGTGCTCACAAAATTCGAATAACTTCTTAAATCTTAATCATAATCAAGACAATTAATCCACATATATTATATTAGTTTATGAAAAGACATTAAGTGACTATTAATTTTATCTTTTTCTACCTTAATTACGCCGCAGTGAGAGGAGACTGAATGGGGCCGGATGTTTTTGTTAAGCTATGAGTACCCTTTAACTGAATTATTCAAATAATTAAAAGTAGTAGCCTTACTTCTGTTTACAAAATTACTATAACATTTGAAAACTATTCTTAATGGTATCATTTTTAATTAATCTCTTTCTCATACACATTCATCATTACAGTACATTGAAAAGAATGATGGATATTTGCAGAATGAATTTATGAAACATACTTTTGAATTCATTATTTTTTTTAAATAAAAAGTTTTGTACTAAGAAATATACTTGGTAAAAAAAAGAGTTGGAAATTAGTTTAAGACGGAGGGGAGTAAATGATGATGAGAGAGAAAATGCGGCAAACATGATCAAAGAGAAAAGGAAGGAACTTGGAAGATTAATAAGAAATGGTTTTGGCGGCTTAAAAGGGATTATTGGAGAAGCAGTCAACAATTTAATCATCTGGCAATTGGAAAATATTGGTCGATCAATTCTTTACCGTTTGTTTTCATATTAGATTGAGTTAATCAAGTCCTTATTTAATCACATCAATGAGTTATGATTACCAAATATGGATGTGTCCCTTGATTC